ATTCGATTTGAAAAAATCAAATCAAATTCAAATTGCTTAAATATTTGATTCGATTCGATTTTGAGGAACCCTAGTTAAAGATTAGCGCTTTAAATCAATTCCATAGAAAGAATCTTTAAATTTGAGAACGTCACTTGCTAAAAAATGTTCTATTATTATTTACTATGCTTTTATTTCTGTATTCATATTATCTGCTCCTAAACTTAAAAGATTAATATCATAACTTGCTATCATTTCTATAATCTTGAATAATTGATCACTTATTTCCTTTGCTATCATATCACCTTTAGTAGGTAATGCTGCAATCATAACTGGCGGAATTTTAGACATTGATATCTAAAACATTTTATTAAAATTCAATCCTAAAAAAGTATTTAATTTGTTAATAATAAAAATAAGCAAACCTTAAGTAAGAATTCACAAACTTGAGTAGCAACAACCTCTTTTTCTTTAATATTTCTCATTGTTTTATGAATATTATCATATGTCTTGCATTTCATTTGATTAGCTGGTAAAATTAAGCCTATTATACTGCCAAACTTTTGTGAATAAACCTCTTTTGGCCGCAGTTTTGTACAGTCTGTTATGAGAACTATAAGTTCTTTTCATCATAATTTATTGGCAACTTTAGCAAAACGAGCAATATTTTTGAGAAATATTTCAAGATTTGTTAGAATATCTTGATCTTTGCTATAAAAATGTCTAAAATGATAAAGTTAATATCATTTGCCACACCACAATAATACTTGCCTGATTTAGGATAGACTTATGCCAGAAAAGTGTGCGTAAATATTTCATATATACGAGAATTTTCAGAGATTAAGCTAAAAAATTGATGGAGGTGTTTGCTATACTGAATACTAGTTTTATGCTTTTCTGTCATTTCGAGTTCTTTAATCTGCACTATTAATTGTACCAATTCCTTAAAAGTTTTTTTAATAGTAATTGCTTCTTTCCTTCCAAGTTCTGCTAGCTCAAGCCAAATTTTGGCTTCATTCAAATTAGCAGATGCACAATATAATTTTTTAGATTTTAATTTTTAAGCAACTTAACAAACTCCATTTGAAAATAACTATTTTGGAATATATTTGGCTGTGATATCAGTATGTTATTTCTAATAATATAATAAAAAATATATTCAATTTAATATATAATATTATTATAAAAAGATTAATATTCTCAACTTATTATTTTAATAGCATCATTAAACTGAGCATTAGTTGTAAGTTCAAAGCAATTATTACAAATATCAGATCTATTTGTGGTAAAATTTAAATATTTCATGCTAAATATAGTTTATCAAGCTTTTACTGATAGTAGGCAAGTAAAGTTCTTTTAAGTAACACTCTTTGATCTTTATCTAAAATATCTCATGAGTAATTCTTTCGATTGTGAAATTTTCTGAAAACAGCTCATATACAACAATATCAACTTTCTGATCACTATCATACTGTAAAGGACTTAAAAAGATATAATTATGATATTTTTTATCTGTCAAACCTAAACAAGCAATATTAATACAAGGTGTTTCAATTGTTCTTTGTTCTTCTTTATTGAGTTTCCAAAAACAGTTTAATGTTGATTATCTTTGAATTGTAAACTTGCACTGTGTATTTTTTGAATGAATGTTTAAATTATGAATACAATAAGCTTTATTAAGCTTAATTTCTTTATTACATATGCATTTTACAGTTTTTTCATCAATAATTTCTTGAAAATGCAAATGTTCTTTTAATTTTTTATAACGTTCAAATTCTTCACAGGTTTTAAAAATGATATTATCAAGTGTATAAGTAAGTTTTTGTTTTTTGTTACTGGTTCTTTTATAGTATGCTTACTTGAAACGTTTTTTTAACTTAAACATTTTTGTTTTATTTGTTACATATAAAAATTTTATTGATTTATATTATGTGTATTTTATTTATTTATATTTATACAATAATCTAAATGATCTTCTATGGACGATTATATTATATCTTACCTTATAGATTATAAGTACAGTCAAACCTTGATATAGCGAACCCTTGATATAGTGAATTTTTAAATCAAATATATTAAAATTACCTTTACTATAGTGAACTAGCCAATTAAATTCTTTAAAAAATTCGTTATAAGCTTATAACGAAGTTGATATCCAGATCCTAGAATTCGTTATATCAAGAGTTCACTGTATCATTTAAAAAAATAAGTAAAACTTTATAAATCATAAGTAATATTTTGAAAAAATGCGTAAACCTTACCTTATAAATCATAAGTAACATTTCGAAAAAATGCATAAATCTTATCTTATAATTATTAATTACATAAAAAAATCTTATCACAGAATTTCAATTACATTTTTTAATTATTAAGTAAATTTACCTTATAAGTCTAAGATAGTTTTTTAAAATTTATTTATAAATCTTATCTTAGATTTAGGGGTAACTTATATTAGAAGTAGGCGGAATCCTGTTAATGGCTAAATATTCACTATTGAAAAGTTGATCTACAAAGAATTATCAAATGATCTACAGAAGTTACTGAATTTAAATTTTATATCGATTACAAATTAGAAGATCTGCATAATTTTGGATGCATAGGATTCTTAGGATTCTTAGGATTTATCTGATAAGCCTTATAAGCTAGCTAATTATTATAACGCTTAGAGTTGCGATCAGAATATTCTTATCTGTATCTTATACGAATAATAATTAACCAATTATATTCATCATCCTAGGTCGAATAGGATTCTTTATCCATTTATCCTTCTGGTAGATATCTGTATATCTAATTAAAATGGATTGGTCAGATAAATCTGAATTTATCTGCCAAATATCTACAATATGATTATTCGATTAAATAGTAATATCAAAGATGTTCAGGATGAATCAAACTAAAATATTTAAAATACTGTATTACTTTTAATATGCTAATCAATGTCTATCATATAATCCATTTTAGATATTTACAATATTTACAATGCCGACCTATTACAGAAAGTGAAATTTAATTTTATATAATAAAATTGAAAATTTATAATTTATTTGATTAAATCCAAAATCTTTATTTACAATTATAAAATTCAAATGTCATTTAAAGTGGGGAATAGATGTTTTGATATTAATTAATATTTCTTTTTAAAATCATCATCCTTTTAAATAATTCAGGAGCAATTCAGATTCTTTTCAAAGTCATTAAATTATCAGTATCACTAAATAAATGCTCACTTATAGTTAATGTTGCTAAAACTTTTAGATATATTTTTGCCAATTTAGATAGAATTAGAAATTAGTTTAAATATAAATCCCACCATACCAAAAGATTTTTTTTGAGACCATTTTTGAGTAATTTCATATATTCTTCAACTTCAGCAGCTGCTGGCAATTCTTTATTCCTTTCCAACAATTTTAATAAATATGGTGTATATAGAGGATTGATAGTAGTTACAAAATCATCAATTTTATTTCTATTTCTAAATTCAGAACTTCATACTCTTCTCTTTCTCCTTTTGTCTTTCTTTCAAAACCTTATCATCTTCATATAAATCCCTAAGAGTATTCTTAACCATCAATTTTGTTGTAATATCCAAAGAATCAAGAGATTTTAATTGTAGGTCTAATAAAGCAGATATACATTTTTGAGGAGTAGGTTCAGGATAATAATGACAAAGGGTTATATATATATTTTTTCTTACTTTATTTAAAAGGCTTGCAATATTTACTGAAGTGTTTAATTTCGTTTGATATTATTGATTCATAGAAGTTTCTTCGATTACTTGAGGTTCTACTGTTTATTCTTCCTCTTATTTATTAAAAACATCCAATTCATCTTCAAAATTCAAATCACATATTCAATTATTACTAATTATTGCTAGTATAAAGAAACCTTTTAACACTTTTACAACGCGATGCATAAGGCTATGTGTAGAATAATAAGAATCACCTAAATATCTAGTTGCTTCTTCAAATAGTCTAAGAACTTGCAATAAATCTTTTAACAAATCCCATTCTAAATCTGTTAAATTGATTTCTTTTAATCATTTTCCATCCTTTTATTCATCAGAATTTTCATGACTAATAAGATGAATAATAAGAAGTTCAATATAAGTTTGACTTGAATTAATCGAATCCATGCTATGTCAGAGCTATTTCATCATGTTGCACAATCTAAAATACAATTAATTAGATATTCTGTAGTATCTTTAGTATCTTATTAAATAAAAATAGTACTAATATTAGTTTAAAATTATTTAAAATTATATAATAAAGTTACTTAAAAATTATAAATTAATAAAATTCATTAATATTTATATCACAGTTGCTTATTTGGGTTTCTTTTTTGAATTTCTTCTAATCGTTCTGATTGTTTTGGACGTAAAAAAAAAAATTAAACGTTTTGATGTAAACTATCAGCATTTTTATAGGCAATAAAACTTTTTTCAAGTACTAATTGTAATGTATGTGAACTGCATCTTTATCACATTATTCCATCCATATCTGCAATAGCCTTTTTGATATTAGAAATATTACCAGTGATTATTGAATGTATTTTTTTATTAAGGTTCTAATATTTAATAATTCTTTTAAGAGTTTCACAAATGTATGTAAGTAGAAAACATATTATACTGTAAGTAGGATTCCTCAAAATCAAATCAAATCAAGTATTTAAGCAATTTAAATTTGATTTGATTTTTTCAAATTGAATGGAATTGAATTGAATTGAATTCAAATATTTGATCAAAACAATTTGAATCGATTTAAATTTGATCAAATTGAATTAAATTAAATCAAATATTTGTCAAATCAAATCAAATCAAATCAAATCAAATATAATTTTTTTTTAATTTTTACAATGATATATTAAAATAAAGTTATTCTAA